CCCAATGAATGTTACCCAAGTTGACCAATGCCGGGTAACAATACATTTTCATCTGCTGGTGAGGGAAACATTTGTCTGTCATAATCTATAATAAGCCCCGCCCACAACTCATGCACAAATCGTATGTGAAGTGACTGGCCACTATTTTGTTTTCGGAATCTGTAACAAAGTAACAATAGGCGTTAACGTGAACTTGCCACAGAAGTGTCGCTCGTTCTCCGAGTGGTGGCGACCCAGTGTTTGTTTTACCATGACACTCGGTCTTCATCGTCTTAGACTGAAAATATACTGCCACGCACAACTGAAGTGCACCGCCAAAAAAGTCGAGCCCTCCTCTTTATTTCCTATCGGTGAACTCACCAACACGACTAGATCTAGACGTGAGGAGTCGTGGGGACCCAAAAAAATTGTGTGTGGTAGTATAATATTTTCAGCCTTACATTCTTTATTTTATCCTTGCACAAAATCAGCAACGAAAAAGCTAACAAACAAAAAACAGCCACAAACAAACCAACAAAGCAGCAACAACAGAAAAAAAAATCTTCTTACATCCCTCCTCCCCACCCCCTTTTTCAAAAGAAAAAAAAAGAAAACAAAAGCCCTTTTAAATTCGCCCTACTGCAGTCCTATGCCTGAATCAGCCCCGGTTTGGACTTCAGAAGTGAATGATTTACATTCTTCATTTTGACCTGTCCTGCCTAAGACGGCCACTTGTGTTATACTGAAACTTTTCTCTATGACAAGGGGGGGAGGGGGGCGTTTTACCCAGGTTTGACTGTATTTAGAATACATGCATTATGTTTTTCTTGGTTCTCGCAAACAGCTGAACAAATTGTTAGAGGGAGTTAAGAAGTGTTTGTCTTGTAAGTACTTTGGCATTATTGGGTTATCGTTCTTCTCCCACGTCACGAATTTGTAGGTGGAGGAGGAGGAGGAGGATAAGATAGATGTATAATATATTACATTACAAACTATAAAATAGACAACTGTGGAGACAGATCAAAACCGACTTATCGAACTCCCGG